CCTATCGGAATATAGCACCTCCTTCTGGAGGTTAGTACTCCTTTAACTGCACTGACTAAACAAGAATTCGGAGATCTCATACCACCATGAAATATGAGTTTTCGTAACTGTTGTTTTATTTATCTCATTGACTTTGAAAATAAGGTCGTAATTAGCATAATCTAGTTTAATTTATAATTTTCTAAATTCAAATGACACTACTTTAGTGTAAAATTCCTCTCCATTGTCATACTTCATTTCAAAATGTCCTTATCAATTATGCAAATGATTTCTACATTAACATAATATATGCATAGTGGTGTTAACCTTTAAGTATCTTACACAAGTCACAAGGTATTAGATTAGTATCATTCACCAATAAGGACTCACATCATTTTCACAATTATGTGGTAAAAAGTAGATATTAGCTTGATATGTAGGACCTTTAAAGACATTACCATACATTGCAGCTATTTCTATTACAATTTTTATGCAACAACTGTTACATTAAACCTTGGGAATGCCTAATCAAACCATTGTGATTATATTTCTAACAAATGTACGTTTTCTTTGTCCATGGTGTATGTACTTTGCGTGTGGAATGAAAAATAAATTTTCAAAAACCTCTCAAATCGATGTTTTGACAAAAATTGCGCGACGCGGTTTCATATCAACAATTGGCAAACACATACAGGCCTGTTACCGTGTCAACAGTCCTAATATTTACGCTAACGCGAAGGTCGAGTTACATAGCACAAAGGTGACCCTCTGGTATTTGCGTTAGGTATTTGGTTTCACCTGAAGGAACTTCACGGCTTAGAATACCGAATAAGGCACAGTTTGTTATAGTAACGTTAATGATTAAGAAGCAGGAAAATAAATGGTGTAACAAAAGAATACGTACAGTAATAAACAGACCAAGACACCCTTAGTAATGAATGGAGTACACATACCGTACTAGGTAATAAGAAACTGTATAGGCCGTCGAAAACAAAGATATGTACTTTTTTTTCACACAATCAACGCAAAGTATCTATTTCTTTCTTATACAAAGAAAAAGCGACCGACTGCGCATCTAAACGTAAATATTACAATATCTCAAGTAAGTATAGGAGAGAATACCTTCGCAATATGATGTTAACCCTGATGGTGGACGAATTAAACATTTTTACCTATTGATTTTGTTTGCATGTATTATATCAGTTGATCATATTCTAGCCTTTTCTAATAAATCAAGCAAATGAGGTCATAATTTGAATAAATTATGATTATTGATGTTCACATTGACTTAACTTCCAAATTTAGCAAGTATGGAATTCCCAGCAGTTAGTACTATTAAGTATTAGCAATTTCCCATTAATTATGCACATCAGGCCTTTATTTACTTAATCTATATCTTGAGATGTTCCTCTCGATCTCAATTACATATTTCCTTTTTTCTCAATTACAAGTATTTTATAATCCTATTATCGAAGGAAGCAGATTTTCCCCTTCAATTATGCAAAAAAAGGTCATGATTTGCATAATTGTCATCCAATTATGTCAATCATCACCTAAGCTACCTACATACCAGAAATTTGTCGGTTCTTGAGTATGTCAGTCATCACCTAAGCCCAGATCGCAAAATATATCAAAACCAAAAGTTTTGCTACAATACCAAGGCAAGTCGACTGGAAGCAAAAAATCTAATCATTTCTAGGTCTTATCAAGACCTACCCACCTACTAAGTTTCATGACAATCCATTAAAAGCTTCTTGAGTTGTGCTAAACCACATACATACATACATACATACACACAATCATACAATCACACATACACATGTACACATACACACAAACGCTACTGAAAAAAAAAATAACCTTTTTGGCGAAGGTAGTAAGATCCGTACCGACTCGGTCATACTCGCCGCCGGCTGCCGTGTGATTTCGACGCTCCAACCAACCACAGCCTTTTCAGCAACATAGCAGTTGACTGGTAAATTACTTGCGACTATCCTGAAACCGCTCCCGAGAATGATCAGTTTCCCATACGTTGATGTAAGAACAAATAACAAAATTCAACGACGTTCGACTTGCTGGCAGGACGGCTCTTCCGTGACTGATTCTGAAGAATTGAAGGACTAACGTTATATATATCGCACACACAGGAAACACGCAAGTGGCACTGACAAAAGTCCGTCTTGGCGTCACTTCCGGCACGATGCGTGACATACGGTGAAAGGCCGGGAACCTTGCACAACTGTGTGTGTCGCCCAAGGGCTACCACTGGACAAAAACCAACGTTTCCGGGTCGTATACTCCCGTACACACGCCCGGAAATTCCAAGTATACGGACATTTCCAGGTGTGCGCGACCCGTACACTTGGCGTGTGCAGGCCTGCACACGGCCCGGATATGAACCACTCAGGTGTCCGGGCTGTGTACTGGCCTGCGCACGCCTGCACACGCCACCTGTAAATCTCCGCACAGGCCCGGATATGTGACACATACCTCTGAGTGTGTATGTGAAATATGCATAAATTAGCGGTAATTTTTACCTAATTATCTTCCTCATTATCAGTCCGTGTACGGGTCGTACACACCCCGCACACGTCCCCCCTCCAATATGCCTTTTGTAATGTAAAGTAGCATCATGGCCGTTTATACCCCTTCTTGTTTGCATAATTTTGTTTTCTTTATTGATTGTACATGGTGCTTGGGCTTTGTGAGTTTTTTTAAGTGTTTGTATTTTGTGCGCCTCCAAAATTTCCAGTGTTCTTCGGCCGGTTTTTCAGCTCAGCTGAAACAAACTGTAGGTCTCGACCTTCGTCCTTCTGTGTCTTGACTTTAGACGCAGCTAGTCACGGGAACAGATATTAGTCTTGTCTGGGCACCAGTCGTTAGAAGCCATCCCAAGCTCTTCTTGCATAGTCACCAAACCACTAGCAACGACAAAATCCAATAAGCAACATATTATGCACCCGACCGGCTTGTGGTACTGTGTGAGCCTACGGACAGCCGCAAGTGAAAGACCGTGCGCAGGCGAGTGATAGACCGGACCGACTAATCTGCTATGCCCCAAGGAACATTCCCACTGGCGGCACATCTTGTGCCTCAGCATGACCTTGAGTCGGGACACAGCGGATAGTCAGGAGGGGTGTACATCGGTCCTCTGGTCCGGTCTATTACTCTCTTGAACGCGGACTATCACCCGCCTATGCCCGCAGCCTGGCTCCCAGAGTTCTGGCTACCGGCTTTCCAAAGAACGAGGCATAAGTTCACAATCTTCCCAATCAACCTCGGCCTGGAGAGTAGTCGTGTCCCAGTTCGTCTTCCCAGTGTCCCACGGCGTTCTTGTCTTGAAAACTGCTCCAATTTACGTAGAATGACCGATATTCCTCCGTGAGTGTCATTGATGAGATATGACACAATCTCTCATCGTGGAGCTTTTCTACCTCCATGCTCTCACTACGTTTCTTCTATTCTAGTGTGTTGCTTGTGTCCAGGACAGTTGTATAATGCACGTTCCACAACCAGGCATGTAATGGAAAGATTTCAAAGATAATGACTCCAGCGTTGATTGGCCCCCTTTTAGCATAAATAGCATAAAGACATTTACGTCATAATGACACCATTTTTCCTACAATATGTAGTAACTGTTGTTGAGTTACAGGGGGTGGGATTTAACCACTACCCCCCTCCGTCCCAGCATGATGGAAAAAAACAAGTGTTGAGCCAAAAAATTAAGCTGCGGCATACTTGAGAGGTCAGTTTGTAGGGCTAGCCTAGGGCTAGGTTAAATTTGGGATCATTGTTCCGGGCTACGGTTAGACTTAAGGTTGGGGTTAGGTTATGTTGTTGGGGTTAGGTAAGGTTAAGTCTCCCTCATAACGACTAAATCCCCCAACCCGTGTGTAAATTATATTGGGAATCCCAAAGTAGTATCAGAGACATACATTTGGCAGAATCATGTACTGTCAGTCAATTGTAACCTTTTAGTCTTTTGATAAAAGGTCAACGGTGTTTGGAGCGAGGTCAGCTGACTTAAAACATAACATTAAGTAGAGAAACGTTCGTAACATCTTACCTTTACTCTTCCATTCAAGAATACCATGAATACCATCATGAATTACAATCATTATTACCTACCAAAATGTTGTTTTCAGAGGCGTTCGTGTGTGTGTCTGTGCGTCTGTCTGTGTGTCTGTAAACAAAATAACTCGAGAAGGATTAAATGGGTTGTCTTTATACTGGGTAGATGGGTAGGTCTTTATAAGACCTAGAAATGATTAGAGTTTGGGCCTCATGATGTAGACGGGCTAGGATCACGAAATTTCAATACTAAGCCGGGCCCAAGAGCGAAACGAAAAAAATGCATATTAAGAATATTCTTAGAATGTGCTTAAGATTATCATTTAACGTCTGTCTGTTTTTAATTTCCTAGAAGCCAGAACCACGCAATGCTACATAATAGAAGATGGATTAAAACTGGCATTTCCTGTCAGCAATCTTAAAAATCCTGGAGTGCACGAGGTGAAGATAGCAAAGGAATGGTGTTTAATTTATCGTCGGGTTTCAATCTCTAATATACTTTACTGTATGTTTGTCTTCATGATATTCATGCTGTCACCTTTGCACTGCAATTTAAAAAATTAGACTGAAGATAGAATAAAATAACAGGTGAAACATATTTAATAACACCGCAAACGACCAGTGGGTTACATTGTAACTACATGTACTTCCACTTTGCAATGTAAACTACAGAAACAAAGTTTGAAAAATGAGACACTTCACGGAACATTGATGCATAAGTATTATAGGCATATCATACTTGTTAAAAAGTCAGATTTCACGAAGCCTAAAAAAACTCCTGTGTTTCTATGGTTCTGCATATAAATCTACTAGTATCCATAAATTTACTATTACACGACACTATTTACTTTATAGTTCAGTAGAGTATCATATAGCTAATGTAGAAAATTAAAAGTTAGTCATATATGGAATTATGCCAATATACAATAATCTTTCAAAATTACGAAAGACTTGCGTTTTAAGATCAGGATTAAAGGTTAGGTATGTAAACATATATACAACAACACCATTCCTCACTGTCGGGTTAATACTATTACTAGTACCACTACTACTTTTGTGCAGTCCTGTAATAACCGATAATTGATGAAAGTCATTAAAGAAAATTGACGCATAACGTCTGGCTAAGTTAGCAGGGATACGAGCCTTGTTTGGCTAAGTACGGACATGTTATGTGCCTTTATGACGTTCTAGGGCTAACAGTGCTGGGATCCAGGCTATGGCGACGTGGATTATTAATGTACATTGCTCCCAGATGATATATGTTTCACATGTACTTTGTATTTCACTTAAAGGAAATAATCTGCAACACATTAAGGCCCTTATATAGATGAAAGGCTATAGAGTTTCTCATTTGCATTAAATCTAAGACAGCCCATTAAACTTTGTTAATAGCTGATGCTTTACTGCCATGTCATGCCATGGTTAACGAGGTGGGCCGCATGCCTCGGTGGTCTTAACTGGTCTATCTTTTGCAGCAGCACTTCAGGCGTCGGCCGCTTGGATGGGTCTACTATCCAGCAGAACCTGATGATACGGTACACCGGCAGCGGACAGTTCTCCGGCTGCTGCAGACGGACGCCTTTCTTCAGCAGCTCCAACAGTGTGCAGACGTCCGGGTGCATGGGGCCTCCAGCGTAGCGCGGCTCCTCCCCAAAACTGGCGATCTCCCATAGCAGCACGCCGTAGGACCACACGTCACTCTCACACGTGTACACCCCGTCCCGTAACGACTCCACGGCCATCCACTTCAGCGGCAACAGTTCCTCCTCCCCGCCCTGGTTTGTGCGTTCGTACGCCGACGACGTGTAAACGTCACGCGATAGTCCGAAATCCGCGATCTTAGCTACCTTCCTGTCGCTGATGACGACATTACGGGCCGCGATGTCTCGGTGAACGATCTTCAGACGTGCCAGCTCTGCTAATCCACTGGCCACGCCAGAAGCAAAACCGAGACGTTCAAACAGTTTCCTTTCTCCTGTAACTTTGAATTGTTCTCTCAAACCCCACAGGTAACGGCGCAGTTCCTCATTAGCCGCGTACTCTACAACAATGTACTGTGGATCTGATTTAGTCAGAACTCCGTAAAACTTCACAACGTTCGGGTGTCCCTCTTTGTCTTCGTGGATCCTGGCGAGAATGTCCATTTCGCGGCGAAAGTCGCGGACAGCAGACGACGTCATGCGGTCAGGCCGGATACTTTTGGCGGCAACCAAAACTTGGTAGCCCTCAGGCACGCGCAGTCTTCCCCGTACTACATGACCGAACTCCCCCTCGCCGATCATGTGTTCAAAACGTATGTCCTCCTTTTCTAGTTCCCATGATGAGAGAGGCTCCATTTCTATGCCAACTATGTTCATCGTATGTAGCCCGCTCCGATTTGTGACCCTCTGTTTTATCATGGTCACAATTATGATGCAGCCGACTATAACTACAGCAGGAAGAATGGACGCCAAAACTATAACAACGACTTGATTATTTTCCAATTTGGTCAGGATTTCACAAAATTCGCCTGACTGCCCTTCTGAACAATTACAAGTCCCATTTACTCCATCACACACGGCGTTGTTCTGACATTGACATGTCAGGCTGCAGTTCCAACCAAAACTGCCAGGTGCGCAGGTGTGCTGACACCTGTCTCCACGACGGCCGGGTGGACACAGACAGCCCTCCCACCTGTCACACGTCCCTCCGTACTCACAGTCACACACTTGGCTGCAAACTTCTCCATAATAGTTGGGTCGGCATTTGGTGGCATTGAGGGTAAAAGTTGCATTAATAACTTCACCAATTACAGCTTTTACCACGCAAGTATAACCAGCGTTGTCTGTTTCTGAGACTGGCTGGAAGTTGATGGAACTGTTCTGTACTGCCCCTTCTTCAATGATTTTTGTATCGTTGTAATAGTTTTCTGCTTCATAAACCCACATCATACTAGCTACTTGGATGTGTGGAGCCAGGCAGGTCAATGTCAGATTAGTACCGATGTACTTTACGGCTGAATCGCCAGGTGACGCTATGATGACAACTTCAGGCCAGGGAATATCACAGGCCCTCCCTCTCCAGCCCGGGCGGCACTCACAGGCACCGTTAAAGCCATGACACCGGGCACCGTTCTTACAAACACAGTCCTTGTCACAGTACAGACCGTACCGGCCCTCGGGACATCCTGTAATGTCGTACTGAAATATAAAATCGACGAGCACTGTCGTAGTGTAAAATGTGACGTTAGCGCCACATTGTGTCCAATAGGACGCAGTGGATCTTATCTTACTCATCTCCACAACTACAACATAACCTTCTGTCATGCTACACTTTTTATCCTGTGCCCACTCAGGTAACGTTTGTTTCGAAACATCCAAAAATATAAACTTGCCCACACTTCTCAACTGTCTGTCGCGACATTGAAACTCTATTCTCCCTCCATTCTGAGGCGCCTCAAGAGGCGGGCGGAGCGCGTCTAAGTCATTCCACGGTGGGGTCAAAGTAGAACACAGCCGAAAGGGAGCAGTCGTTCATGATAGTATCGTGGGATTCGTAACGCCAAAAGGGAAAAACTCTGGGTACTGTTGTTTGTCTGTCGTTTTGACCATTAATTACAACATCGTAGTGCCCATTAGGGCTGTCTCAGTACGACATAGTTCTCAGCCGTCCCAGTACCAGGTATAACTGGTGTTTCACACTGTTTGCTGTAGTATGGCGGTATCCCCACACATCCATGATCACGATGGCGAGGTTTACATGCCAAACGCTGTTGTCTCCAGTATTTGTCAGCTCCAGGGACAGGTTGTACCGCGGGTTATACTCATAGTCCAGCGGCGCTGCGACGATTAGCGTCAAATTCTCAACAACAACCTCAAACCGTCTGACATCATTGCCACTTGTGATGTTCACTGACCACGACGTTCCATTTTCCTCTTCCATTAGGCCACCACCGACGTTAAGAAAGTCTCGCAGGTGCTTGACTGTGCTGCCGACAGATGCGTCCTCAGGTATTGTGACGTTTTCAACCCCAAACCCCGCCTCTCGGCCGGCCTGGACAGATGGAATTCGGTTGACCAGTAGAAAGACGGAACAAAACGTCACATAGGCCATCTTCTCTCCGCCTATGCCACTTAGTGAACGTTTTTTCACGATATCTTGCAGGTGACTGCGCTTTACCTAGATGCAAAAAGGCAGAAACGGTAGTTAGAATTAATCAGAAACACGCCACACTAGTCAGAAAACTATATTATACCTTTTTTGTTTCTCACACAAAACTGGCAGTCAACTGAAACCCAATTGCAATCCCCGACCACTTAATTCGAATTCTCTTAATTAATTAATTCAGGTAGTGTGGCGTAGCGGCAGATCTAGAGTGCTTGACTAGAAATCAAAAGGTCCCCGGTTCGAGTCCTGACATGCCACCAAACTTGTGTCCTTTAGAAAGGCACCTTAGACGACTGTCCTCACTTCGCTCAGGTGAAAATGAGTATTGTATTGTCCCCTATGTTGGTGGTGGCACTAATATAAGTTAAAAAAACTTGAGTGTGTCGTCATCACGTCTAGTGACTAGATGTTGGAATAAAAAAAAAACATGTAAACACCCTTTTAAACCACAGCCAAACGTTCAGACCAGCGTTCTACAGCCCGCATAAGGTCAGATTATAGGTGGTTTTTAAAGAGCTAGTGTTTGCAATATGAGCACTAGATGCTAAACCATTAGGTACTCTTTTGCAGAAATTAAATTAGATGTTCCTTATAAGTATTGTATAAGCTATATGTCTTGAAATAGTTTTTTGTCTCGGCATAGAATTTTACTGCGCTTAACTGCACTGACTTAACAAGAATTCGGAGATCTCATACCACCATGAAATATGAGTTTTCGTAAATGTTGTTATTTGCCTCATTGACTTTGAAATAAGGTCGTGATTAGCATAATCTAGTTTAATTTATGGTTTTCTAAATTCAAATGACACTATTTTAGTGTAACATTCCTCTCCATTGTCATACTTCATTTCAAAATGTCCTCATTAATTATGCAAATGACTTCTGTATAGTGGTGTTAACCTTCAAGTATCCTACACATGTCACAAGGTATAAGATTCGTATCATTCACCAATAAGGACTGACATAAATTTTACATTAATTATGCAAATTAGGCCATCATTTGCATACTTGGTTTCTGTTGATATTTTACCTACTAATTATTAATTACTAATTAAATAGATTACATGTATAACCCTGTAATTATATAATCAAGTCATTATTTGCATAATTTACATTTAATTATGTACAACTCTCTCTCAGCTACCCACACCAAAAATGATGAAAATACGTTGTTCCTATCTGGACTTATTGGCTTTTAAACCTTTCGCCAGAAAGTCCCCTGGAGTTTGATTTGATTTGATTTATTAGGCTGATAACATATATGTATGCAGCCGGGACTGCCCAACTAGCCGGAGGCTATTATAAAGGGCTAGCCCTCACAACAAGAACATAAACAATTCGGAACAGTTAGCAGTTAACAGTGTCAGTTACAATTCAGATAGACATACTACTACATAACAGATATTGCGGCCAAACGTTAACAAGCTAGGATATCCGGCCTAGTCGTCGTGCGTTTACTACAATTACATTTATATGTCAGGTTAATATACTATTCCATAACAGATGTTGTGCACTATATTTACATTGTCAATACAATTCTATTGAACTCGTACAGTTTTACTATGTAGTTGTCGTCAAGTATTTATCAAGTATTGTCCATAGTTTGTTTTTAAAGGAGCTGAGGGAGCGGGTTGTTCTAGTTTCGCTATTAAGAGTATTCCAGATGGTTATAGCTCTGATCACAAATGTTCTCTGGGACCTGGTGGTTCTACAAACGGGTATGGATAAGTATTCACTATTCCGTAAGGGATACCGGGATTCTGGGGCGGACGCTTGCGCTCGAGGTAGCAGACTTTGCAGGTGTGGAGGACAGCGACCGTTCAACAGTTTGTACATGGTTACTGCAGTGTGAAACTTGCGTCGTAGCTGGAGAGATGGTAGAGACAGTTCTGTGTAGAGACTATTGTAGGAGGGGTATGGGATTCCAAAGTGGCCAATGATAAGCCTGGCTGTTTGGTACTGAACATATTCTAAAGTCCTTTGGTCACGTAAGGTGAGGCCGGCCCAGACAATATCCGCTTACTCTAACGTAGGTCTTGTAATGGAGTTCCAAAACAAGCTGCTAGGGGGACCAAACCCACACAACTTTTTCCTGCCAGTAAAAGTTATCTGTCACCAAAAAGTCAAGAGTGCAGCATGTTTAAGACAAAAAAAGCGAAAACCGGAAGTTCTGCTGCAGTACCGAGGTCATCCATTAGGAGGCCCATAGTTTGTCTTCCCAAGACTTACCAGCATACCAAATATTATCACAATCTATAAAGGCGTCATGATGTTATGCTGACGATAAATGTGCGGAAACACAAACACACACACACACACACACACACACACACACGCCAAAAACAATACCTCCATTTTTCATGGAGGTAACTAAGAGAATTACTATAGACAATTACAAGCAGATATAAGCTTGATATGTAGGACCTTTAAAGACCTTACCATACATTGCAGCTATTTCTATTACAATTGTTATGCAACAACTGTTACATTAAAACTTGGGAATGCCTAATCAAGCCATTGTGATAACATTTCTAACAAATGTACGTTTTCTTTGTACATGGTGTATGTACTTTGTGTGTGGAATGAAAATTAAATTCTCAAAAACCTCGCAAATCGATTTTTGACAAAAATTGCGTGACGCGGTTTCATATCAAGAATTGGCAAACACACACATGTACAGGCTTGTTACCTTGTCAACAGTCCTAAATATTTACGCTAACGCGAAGGTCGAGTTACATAGCAGAAAGGTAACCTTCTGGTATTTGCGTTAGGTATTTGGTTTCACCTGAAGGAACTTCACGGCTTATTAGAAGACACACAGCTCCCCTTTAAAAAAATTAAAGCTACTAAATATTAATGATATCAATAAACTACAAATAAGCCTTTTCACTGTCAATTTCCTTTCCAACAATCTCCCCAATATATTTGATAATTTCCTAAACATGAATTCACTTGTACACAACCAAAATACTAGACAACGAAATCTACTGCATACCCCACTCTTCCGCACGTCATTAGCACAATCCTCCGTAAAATACAAATGTCTCTCATTATGGAACAGCCTTCAGACAAACATACGAACAATTTCCTCTTTTCTAACTTTTAAAAATACCCTGAAAGCCCATCTTATAAAGAACCCCAGCCCCTTGTATTAGATGAATATCTTCATTTCATTTATTATTATTTTTTATGTACACTATTGTTTCATTATTGTTATTGTTCATTTTGCCTATGTTTGAATTATTATGCTAACAATTCCTTATGTATGTATGTATTACTTTATATCAATTTTATTTCATCTCAGTTTATGTATACTACTGTTTCATTATTGTTATTGTATCATATTGCCCTTGTTTGAATTATTTCGATAACATTTCTTTATGTATGTATGCCTTATTTCAATTCAATTATGTTTAGTTTTGGTTAGTATAGAGGAGGAGGTCTTAGCATAAGCGAAATAAGCTTTTTTCCCTCCTCCTGCACCTGTTTTATTCATTTTCAATTTATTATGTGTTGTGCAAATAAACACACAAACGAACAATAAATCAAGCAAATGAGGTCAAATGAGGTTATGATTATTGATGTTCACCACTCTCTCTCTCTCTCTCACCTTGACTTAATTTACGAATTCAGCAAGTATAAAATTCCTAGCAGTTAGTACTAAAAATTATAGCAACTTCCCATTAATTATGCAAATTAGGCCTTAGTTCACTTAATCTATATCTTAAGATGATCCTCTCGTTCTCAATTGCATTGTGTTCTCTCGTTCTTAATTACAAGTGTTTCATAGTTATACTATTAAACGAAGCATATTTATAGAATTTCACTATTAATTATGCAAAAAAATCTCATGATTTGCGAAATTGTCATCTAATTCTGTCAATCATTCCCTAACCTACCTAGCTACATACCAGAATGTACGACAATCTGTCGGTTCTTGAGCAATTCTCCTTCAAAGATATTTCAACAAGCCGTTCGGGGCCGGACCTCATGTTTCTTCTCCCCGAGTCCAAAAGCTATATACCATCCAAAATTCGTGACCCTAGCATGTCAAGATCGCGAGATATCAAAACCGGAAGTTCAGCTGCAGTACCAAGACAACCCGCCAGGAAGCCAGAAAACTAATTATTTCTAGGTTTGTTTGTTTGTTTGTCTTATCAAGACCTACCCACCGACCAAGTTTCATGACAATCCATCAAAAGCTTCTTGAGTTATCGTGCTAAACCACATACATACATACACACAGTCATACATAAATGCACATGTACACATACACACAAACGCTACCGAAAAAAACATATCCTTTTTGGCGAAGGTAATAAGATCCGTACCGACTCGGTCATACTCGCCGTCGGCTGCCCTGAGATTTCGACGCTCGAGGTAGAATTTTAAAACAGGTTGTGACAGCAACATGGCAGTTGACTCGTGAAATACTTGCGACCATCCCGAGATCGCTCACGAGAATGATCAGTTTCTCATACGTTTATGTAAGAACAAAGAACAAAACTCACCGACGTTCGACTTGCTGGCAGGACGGCTCTTCGGTGACTGATTCTGAAGAATTGGACTATATATATCGTACATACAGGAAACACGCAAGTGGCACTGAACAAAAGTCCATCGTGGCGTCACTTCCGGCACGATGCGTGACATACGGTGAAAGGCCGGGAACCTTATCTGACATACACAGATAGGAAGTGAGCCATTCTTCCGAGAAACATAATGAAACGAAAAATACAATTTCCTATCCTTCTTTCTTCTATGAGAAAGAGCGTGGGAAGGTGAAACACACAGCACTACCAGCGGACCATCCCCCTGCTGTAGTGACTTGAACAACTGTGTGTCGCCCAAGGGCTACAGAAATGCATATAGGCACCACCCTATATACGCTATACCTTTTACCCTTCTTTCCACGTGACACTACAAGGAACTGTTCTTACGAGGAAATTCCATAACGTAAATTAGTCCATAAGATTTTAAAAAGGATGCTATATGTATAAAGCTTTACAAAACAGTAAATATTCTGGTCTCTGAGTGTTTGTTTTGGTAACAACCGACTTGAGAAAACCAATGTCAACACCCGGCTGCCGTCTGCATTTCCCATGATCCCTCACAAAAGTGATGACGCCATTTGTTATACGTGATCCACTGCACGAAAAGTGGGATTTACCACAATGGTAAATGTGATGTAAAGCCGGGTAAAGGTTACATTTACCAATAATTTACCAACATTTACCCGTCGGTAAATGTGCAAATGTACCCGGTATTTACCCGAATGGTTTAGCTGGTAATGTTTGCCTTATTTACCTACATTTACCGGTTTCGTGTAAATACGTATCTAGCAAGACTTACCGTATGCGGTATTTCTCACATGTATTTACCGAGATTTACCATTCTTCTTTACCATATTGGGTATTTTTCACATGCATTTCAGGTATTTACCGAGATTTACAATATGTGGTACTTCTCATTTCAGGCATTTACCGAGGTTTACCAAGCATGGTATTTCTGACATTAGTTGAATTTACCCGTATTTACGTGTACATTCCCCTTTACCCATATTTACTTAATATATTTCGTTAATTACGTTGTATCACCCCCCTGAATTACATACAAGCACAGGAAATAGGTTCTGGGCAGAACTCAGAAAAATTTATTTAAAAAGCATAGAAACTAAACATAAATTGGCAGTTACCTTTTCTAAAAGGTATGCAAATAAGCATTACATACAAGTAAATAAAAGTTTTACAAACAAGTTATACACCTTTTTCTTATAATGTTCAAAAGGTCAATGACCATCTGTTTCGTACTAACAACACACAAAGACATACACATACAACAGAATAATAATAAATACAAGTAGCATTTCTTATGAACAAACAAACTATGAGCAGACACAGTCTAAATATAATATTATAATTCTGTACTAACACACGGCCTTTGAAAAGCTATACACTTGGTTTAACATGTACCAGGAAAAGTTGTCACATGTTCATGGAAAATACATACCAACTTGTCACCCTTAACATATCATTATATCCTGTATGATAAAAAGCTTGAAAACCATTCAAATGAAACACCAATATAACGAGGAAATTACAAAACTGGCTTGTGATATATTGGTTGACATTTAGTAATGCTTGCATTGTTTTGCTCTTTTTCCACATCTGCCCCCACTGCTGCCACGCACACTGGGTAAGGCTGTCTGTTCTGTGTTTGCATGTTTGGTGTTTTGGTATTGATTTGGAGTCCTTCTTCGGAGTCAGTTCCTGTATGATTGAACAAAAGTATCATTAAACATTCATTCACATCACTGAGAAACATGTCACATGATTGCGGTGCAACTTACAAAAGTACTAGCTTACTTCAAGATAGCATTTACAAACATATACAATCTAAACCAAACAGTATGCATCATCATAAGATCATGTTTAGTTACACAATTTAAGCTACAGGTACCCAGCTTTAAATTACGTACAGGTCCAGACATGTACTTGTACTCCTTGTTCAAATAATGGTTGAACTTTAATAAAGACAATGACATGTGTACCGGTAGGTTATTTTAGGTCCAATCATTTCCATTACCATTATCTTGTACGTACGTTGCTGTGCTATGACACGTCAGCTGTAGAGTTATGTCGCAGTGGAGTGCGATTAAAAAAAAATCGAATTGTTCCGTTTAAGTTAGTGATTATTCCTGTGAACCATGCTTTTGAATATGAAAAAAAATAAGCAGGTTTGTTTCTCTCTTTGCCGGCGCTGGGAGGTTTCTCAATAGAATATTTCAATCAACGACCTCAAGGACAACATATTGTCGCATACATCCTTTCGGAATTATCATTGTAAAATACGGTACTTTTTGTATTTATCATTAGGTGTTTCGAAATATTAAATCCAAATACTGTACCTTTTAGTAAAATGCCCTCCAAAAAGCCATGGCATAAAGATTACATATGCCTGAAGCCATTTTTCATTTTCACGTCGGTGTTGCCGGGGACAACATGAATTAGAAGATCTTATCATTCGACTATAGATCATTTTTACTAAAGTTTGGCTGTTTTTCTCTGGGGTTTACGGGGAAACTCATTTTGAATGATGTCAAAGCAGAGTGGTGGCATATTAGACCGTCTCTGACCAATGGACACTTTCTTTGGTCACCCTAGCATCTGCTTTGAGATTACATTTTGACGGTTTTAGCCCAAAAATAGCATAAAGACGTCGTAATGACGACATTTACGTCATTATGACACCAAATTTTAATTTTAAAGATACACCCTCCTCTGAATTTTTTTTCCTACAATATGTAGTAACTGTTGTTGAGTTACAGGGGGTGGGCTTTAACCACTACCCCCCCCCCTCCGTCCCAAAATGATGGAAAAAAAAACAAGTATTGAGCCAAATAATTAAGCTGCGGCATGCGTGAGAGGTCAGGTGTGTAGGGCTAGGGCTAGGTTAAATTTGGGATCATTGTTCCGTGCTACCGTTAGACTTAAGGTTGGGGTTAGGTTAGGTTATGTTGTTGGGGTTAGGTTAATTTGTTGTTGAGGTTAGGTAAGGTTAAGTCTCCCTCATAACGACTAAATCCCCCCAACCCGTGTGTAAAGTATATTGCAAATCCCAAAGTAGTATCGTAGACATACAATTTGCAGAATCATGCATGTACTATCAGTCAATTGTAACCTCTTAGTCTTTTGATAAAAGGTCAACGGTGTTCGGAGCAAGTTCAGCTGTCTCAAAACATTACATTAAGTAGAGAAACGTTCGTAAAATCTTACCTTCAGTCTTCCATTCAAGAATACCATGAATACCATCATGAATTACAATCATTATTAACTTCGCCAAAAAGGTTGTTTTCAGAGGCATTCGTGTGTGTGTCTCTGTGCGTCTGTCTGTGTGTCTGTAAACAAGATAACTCAAGAAGGCTTAAATGGATTGTCTTTATACTTTGTAGATGGGTAGATCTTCATGAGACCTAGAAATGATTAAAGTTTGGGCCTCATAATGTAGACGGGCTAGGATCACGAAATTTGAGTTTCAATTCTAAGCCTTGCCCCAGAACAAAACAAAAAATGCATATCAAGAATATTCGTAGATTGTGCCTAAGATTATCATTTAACGTCTGTCTGTTTTTAATTTCCTAGAAGCCATACACACGCAATGCTACATAATAGAAGGTGGATTAAAACTGGCATTTCCTGTCAGCAATGATCTTAAAAATCCTGGAGTGCACGAGGTAACGATAGCAAAGAATGGTGTTTAATTTATCGTCGGGTTTCAATCTCTAATATACTTTACTGTATGTTTGTCTTCATGACATTCATGCTGTCACCTTTGCACTGCAATAAAAAAAATAGACTTAAGATAAAATAAAATAGAATAACAGGTGAAATATATTTAATAACACCGCAAATAATCAGTGGGTTACATTGCAACTACATGTACTTTCACTTTGCAATGTAAACTACAGAGACAGAGTTTGAAAAACGAGACACTTCACGTTACATTGATACATAATTATTATAGGCATATCATACTTGTTAAAAAGTACAGATTTGACAAATCCTAATAACAAAATATGTTTCCTGTGTTTCTATAGTTCAACTAGTATTTATAAATCTACTATTACACAACACTCACTATTCGTTTTATAGTTCAGTAGAGTATCATATAGCTAATGTAGATAATGAAAAGTTAGCCATACATGAAATTTTGACAATATACAATAATCTTAAAAAAAAATCAAAAGGCTTGAGTTTTAAGATCAGGATTAACAGGTTAGGTATTTAAACATATATACAAGAACACCATTCCTTACTGTCCTTTTAATACTACTAGTTCTACTACTACTTTTGTGCAGTCCTGTTATTACTGATAATTCATAATAGTCATTTAAGAAAATTGACGCTTAACGTCTGGCTAAGTTAGCAGGGATGCCAGCCTTGTTTGGGTAAGTAAGGACATGGTATGTGTCTTTATAACGTCCTAGGTCTAACAGTGCTGGGATCCAGGCTATGGCGACGTGGATTATTGATGTACATCGCGCCTAGATAATATATGCTTCACAGGTACTTTGTATTTCACTTAAAGGAAATAATTTGCTACACATTAAGGCCCTTATGTAGAAAAAGGCTATAAAGTCTGTTTCTCATTTTCATTACGTTTAGGACAGTCCATTAGACCTTGCTTGTTAATAGCTGATGCTTCACTGCCATGTCATGCCATGGTTAACGAGGTGGGCCGCATGCCTCGGTGGTCTTAACTGGTCTATCTTTTGCAGCAGACCTTCAGGCGTCGGCCGCTTGGCGGGGTCTACTATCCAGCAGGACCTGATGATGCGGTACACCGGCAGCGGACAGTTCTCCGGCTGCTGCAGACGGACGCCTTTCTTCAGCAGCTCCAACAGTGTGCAGACGTCCGGGTGCATGGGGCCTCCAGCGTAGCGCGGCTCCTCCCCAAAACTGGCGATCTCCCACAGCAGCACGCCGTACGACCACACGTCACTCTCACACGTGTACACCCCGTCCCGTAACGACTCCACGGCCATCCACTTAAGCGGCAACAGTTCCTCCTCCCCGCCCTGGTTCGTGCGTTCGTACGCCGACGACGTGTAAACGTCACGCGATAGTCCGAAATCCGCGATCTTAGCCACCTTCCTGTCGCTGATGACGACATTACGGGCCGCGATGTCTCGGTGCACGATCTTCAGACGTGCCAGCTCTTCTAACCCACTGGCCACGCCAGAAGCAAAACCGAGACGTTCAAACAGTTTCCTTTCTCCAGTAACTTTGAATTGTTCTCTCAAACCCCACAGGTACCGGCGCAGTTCCTCATTAGCCGCGTACTCTACAACAATGTACTGTGGATGTGATTTAGTCAGAACTCCGTAAAACTTCACCACGTTCGGGTGTCCCTCTTTGTCTTCGTGGATCCTGGCGAGAATGTCCATTTCGCGGCGAAAGTCGCGGACAGCAGACGCCGTCATGCGGTCAGGCCGGATACTTTTGGCGGCAACCAAAACTTGGTAGCCTTCAGGCACGCGCAGTCTTCCCCGTACTACATGGCCGAACTCCCCCTCGCCTATCATGTGTTCAAAAAAGATGTCCTCTTTGTCTAGTTCCCATGATGAGAGAGGCTCCATTTCTATGTCCACTATGTTTATTGTATGTAGCCCGCTCCAATTTGTGCCCCTCTGTTTTACCACGGTCACAATTATGATGCAGCCGACTATAACTAAAGCAGGAAGAATGGACGCCAAAACTATAACAACGTCTTGATTATTTTCCAATTTGGTTACGATTTCACAAAATTCGCCTGACTGCCCTTCCGAACAATTACAGGTGCCATTTACTGCATCACACACGGCGATGTTCTGACAGTGACATGTCATGCTGCAGTTCCAACCAAAACTGCCAGGTGCGCAGGTGTGCTGACACCTGTCTCCACGACGGCCGGGAGGACACAGGCACCCCTCCCACCTGTCACACGTCCCTCCGTACTCACAGTCACACACTTGGCTGCAAAATTCTCCATAATAGTTAGGTCGACATTTTTTGGCGTTGAGGGCAAAGGTTGCATTGATTACTTCACCGTTTACAGCTTTTACCACGCAAGTATAACCACCGTTGTCTGATTCTGAGACTGGCTGGAAGTTGATGGAACTGTTCTGTACCGCCCCTTCTTTAATGATTTTTGTATCGTTGTAATAGTTTTCCGCTTCATAAACCCACATTATACTAGCTACTTGGATGTGTGGAGCCAGGCAGGTCAATGTCAGATTAGTACCGATGTACTTTACGACTGAATCGCCAGGTGGCGCTATGATGACAACTTCAGGCCAGGGAATATCACAGGCCCTCCCTCTCCAGCCCGGGCGGCACTCACAGGCACCGTTAAAGCCATGACACCGGGCCCCGTTCTTACAAACACAGTCCTTGTCACAGTACAGACCGTACCTGCCCTCGGGACATCCTGTAATGTCGTACTGAAATATAAAATCGACGGGCCATGTACTTTTCGAAAAAACAAAATTAGCGCTACATTGTATCCAATAGGACGAATTTGACCTTGTGTCATTCAGCTCCACAACTATAACATAATTACCACCTCTTCTCATGCTACACTTTTTATCCTGTGCCCACTCAGGCAACATTTGTTTCGAAACATCCAAAAATATAAACTTGCCCACACTTCTATACTGTCTGTCGCGACATTGAAACTCTATCCTCCCTCCATTCTGAGGCACCTCAAGCGCCAGGCGGAACACTTCTAAATCACCCCACACTAAAGAAGAACACAACCGAAGGGAGCAGTCGTTCATGATTGCATCGTGGGATTCGTTACGCCAATAGGGAAAAATGTCTGAGTACTGTTGTTTGTCTGTCGTTTGATCATTAATTACAACATCGTAGTGCCCATTAGGGCTGCTCAGTACGACATAGTTCTCAGCCGTCCCAGTATCAGGTATAACTGGTGTTTCACACTGTTTGCTGTAGTATGGCGGGTATCCCCACACGTCCGCGATCACGATGGCGAGGTTTACATGCCAAACGCTGTTGTCTTCAGTATTTGTCAGCTCCAGGGACAGGTTGTACCGCGGGTTATACTCATAGTCCAGCTGTGCTGCGACGATTAGCGTCAAATTCTCAACAACAACCTCAAACCGTCTGAGATCGTTGCCACTTGTGATGTTCACTGACCACGACGTTCCATTTTCCTCTTCCATTAGGCTACCGCCGACGTTAAGAAAGTCTCGCAGGTTCTTGGCTGTGCTGCCGACAGACGCGTCCTCGGGTATTGTAACGTTTCCAACCCCAAACCCCGCTTCTCGGCCGGCCTGGGCAGATGGAATCAGGTTGACCAGTAGGAAGACGGAACAAAACTTCACACACGCCATCTTCTCTTCATATACACTACTTCGTAAAGTTTTGTTTTACAATATCCTGCAGGTGACTTGGCTTTACCTGGATGCAAGGATGTAAACACGGTAGTTAGAATTAATTAGAAACTCACAATACTATTCAGAAAACCATAGCATTCCTATATACATGTATTGCTCAATTCCTTACGTCACGTATCAGTAAAATCTCGTGTAAATAAGGTGTTTGTAAACCGTAATTCTCGCGAGATCACGTTGTGAAGTGATTGGTCAATAATTATCCTGATAAAGGCGACAGTGGTCGCTGAAAATTTGATCCCTGTACAATTGTTTGTTGGGATAAAGTTTTACCTTTTACTATCGTTCCTATATTTGTTTTTCTCTAAACTCAATCTCGGTTGGGTTAAGGCAAGGCGGCCTAGGCTGATATTCATGTTCGAGTTCGGGCGTGTGTCTGCACGATTGCCACGAACTTGTTTCGAACCCAAATCATGTTCCACCATGTTCAATATGACGTCATTCGAATAGAACGCGTGTTCGAATTCGGGGTTACCAGCGGTCATTTGTGTGTTTCCCCTGTAAACCCGCGTTGTTACGCATTTTATTCACGGAGTATGACTTAAACGGCTTTACGCGCAGCTGCAAACAAAATAATTGATCTTCAGAGTAATCCATGTTTACGTATTATCACTTTTTATTAAATTTGTCCGAGGCTATTTTGCATATAAGTCGATATTTTTTAACTGTGGCGATTTTTAACGAAAAATGACAGAAAAATAGCTGTTTCTGTCGTTTTGGGCCAGAAAAAACAATGTAACTGTCATGTAAAACAAAATAGCCTCGGACAAAAAGAATAAATAGAGGGTTGGCTTTCTACTTGTAAAATTTCATGATGAAAGGTGTTGTTACCGCTTGCGCGTAAAGCCATGAAGTAAACAGTATTTTTTAACCAAAACCCAAAAAATCCAGAAGTAGTAAAAACAAAATAACCTTTATTCAATGTATTTCAAGTACCACTAGAACTGTGTGAAGTTTAGTTGTGGTGCGACCAAGCTATCAAAAGTTACAGGCATATGTATGGAATACTACTCATATGCCAAAAAACAGTTACTCAAGCAACTGGATATGATTTGAAAACGTCAGACGTTTCAGCTAGTATCCACTAGTTTTCGTCAGTGACTGAGAGACCAGAGGGGAAAGCAGGTTTATATACACAACCTGTTGATTGATATGCAAATAAAGTGAAGACAAATTTTTGGAAGTCGAAAAAGGAACAAAAGTCAGACAAGTCAAGACAAGATGATGCAAATTAGTCTGAAAGCTCCTGTTATACAGGACAGGAGCTTAAGTGTTGTCCGTCCTCGGGGCTGGGAGTGCCAAATCCCAAGTGCCGGAAAGATCGACCCGTAGCCCCCCTTCCCTGTTGAGGGTGGGGTTGTACATTCTTTCATATATTGCCTCTTTAACACCCCGTTCCCACCAGCGTGTTTCGCGGTCTAAGACATCCGTGGAATCGAGTTTGAAAGAGTGACCCTGGTTGTGTTGTAGGTGGTGGAAAATAGCTGAGGAGTAGCCGTTGGCACTAGGTCGGCAATGTTCTTTGTACCTTACTTTAAGCGGTCGACTTGTCCCTCCGATGTGGTGTTGTTACAATTGGGCTCCTCACATTTGAGTCTGTAAATAACATTCGCCTTGGTACCCTTGTGAGGTCGGTCCTTAGGGTGTACCAGTCTTTGTCTGAGGGTTGAGTGAGGTTTGAAGTTAGTGGCTATGTTGAAGTTTTGGAAGATCCGTCGGAGTTTCTCAGATACTCCTTGGACATACGGAATAGTGATGTTGGCCTTGTTTTTGTTGGTCAATGGTTTGCACTTCTGGGTTTTCTTAGACTGATCTGAAGGTTTGAGCGCTTTGTTGAAAGTCCAGTTTTGGTAGCCACATTTAGCCAGGGCACCTCGGAGGTGTCTGTGTTCGTCCGTTTTGGCTTGGTCTGAAGTGACAATGTTGTCTGCACGATGGAAGAGAGTTTTGATCACTGCTAGTTTGTGTTCCAAAGGGTGGTGGGAATCAAAAGCCAGGTACTGATCAGTGTGGGTTGGTTTCCTGTACACTTCGAAACGAAGGTTACCATCTTCCTCTACGATAGTTTTGGTGTCTAGGAAAGGGAGCATGTTGTCATGGCTTGGCTGCTGTGTGAACTTGATGTTGTCATCTATCTGGTTGATGTGGTCAAAGAAGTCAGCAGCTACCCTCTTTTTCAATCTGCACCAAGTGTCATCTACATATCGAAACCAGTTGGCTGGGGGAGTGTCATTGAAAGTGCTGAGGGCTTTGTTTTCAAACTTCTCCATGTACAGGTTTACAACAATTGGTGAGACTGGTGATCCCATAGCACAGCCGTGCATTTGCTGGTAGAACTCTCCTTTGTAGGTAGGTCCTGTATAACAGGAGCTTTCAGACTAATTTGCATCATCTTGTCTTGACTTGTCTGACTTTTGTTCCTTTTTCGACTTCCAAAAATTTGTCTTCACTTTATTTGCATATCAATCAACAGGTTGTGTATATAAACCTGCTTTCCCCTCTGGTCTCTCAGTCACTGACGAAAGCTAGTGGATACTAGCTGAAACGTCTGACGTTTTCAAATCATATCCAGTTGCTTGAGTAACTGTTTTTTGGCATATCGTATTACCTGGATGTCTAACCTTCATCGACGTAATACTACTCATAGTATGCCATAGGCTGCCTTAACTAACCCGACCGAGATAGCAATCCCTGACCACTCAATTCCAATCCTCACTGCCGTTACAAACAAACAGAATTGCTATGATCATGTTTAGATCATCTGCATATTTAATGAGGACATCGTAAAATGAAGAATGAGAAAGGAGAGGAATTTTACACGAAAAAAATTGTCATTTAGATTTAGAAAACCATAAATTTAACAAGATTATGCTAATTATGATATTCTTGTCATAGTCAATGAGATAAATAAAAAAAAAAACATTTACAAAAAGTCATATATTTCATGGAGGTATGAGATCTCCGAATTCTTGTTACTGTTGTTTTATCTCACAGTCAACGCGTAGTGACACACACAGCGACTGAAAATCAACAAGGAAATGCTACATAGTATTGAGGAAGTATAGTAGAGTCAAAACATGCCCTCGACACGATACTACGTGGGAACGTTTCTGAATCGGATGTACATTTAACAGAAGTCAGTTTGTTATAACTTCTTGTTATAATAAGATCCGTACCAATGCGGTCATACTTGCCGTCGGCTGTCGTGCTATTTCGACACTTGAGATAGAATTTTTAACCAGGTTATGGCAAAACAAACCACTGGCAAGAGACAATTACTAGTCTCCACAAAACTCCTTTTGCAGACTGAATAAATCGTAGAAATCGGCCTATAAAGGGTATTGATTGGCGAGAGAAGGTAGCCGGCCATCGACGATCAAATTGGCCTCCAAGAAGTCTGTGAGAGGACAGTATCCTCTTTGATGCCCACTAATGAGTTTTAAATAGGTGCGAAGTATCCAAGTAAGCTGTTTATTGCTTTGCTTCTCAAGTGTGACGGGACTGGCCTCTCAAGTAAACGGTCTGACTTCCCGTGTCTATGGTTATAAATTTGTCGAAACGCAACTACATTCCTCGTGGTATCGGTAAATTGCAACATAAACGGTAGGGTTACATGATTAGGAGCTATATTGTCTGTATCAATGATAAAATCAGAAGCTTTCTGAAGAAAAACCTTGTAAACAAATGTCTTTTGTGTCGATTTTTTACACGGACGGTATCATCGCCATTTTGGGACATGGAAGAGTCCATTCTGCGTGTATAGGGAAACGTTTCTTTGAAATATTTTAAATCCATTTCGAATTATAGCAGAGATTGCAAAGTAATAATTTGACATAGTTAAACTGTAATACTAAGAGGTTGCACTTCAAGTCGTTCTAATCAATATACGTTGAAAGGTGGATAGACAACTATAGTTTAGACACCATATACCCGTGAAATGAACTCTTCGGTAGCGAGCGGTCGGAAAAACAACAATAACTCAAACTTCAAAATTATATTTTAACGGCATATCTGTGAAAAACAGTGAAGCAAGTATCTATGCAATAGTTTGATTGGCGTTAAAAATGGACGGTGGAACTCAGGGATTGCAGCAATTTTCAGGTTTCTTCACGCTTGTCCACCAGAACAGGTGTGAACGTGCACGAGTGGGAAGGGGTCGTCGGTATTTTTGTCTCTTTTTCTCTTGTTTTATCTAGTAGACTTTTGGTTGTTTCTGCTAGAGTTTTAGGTCTTATTAATAAGAAAACTACGTGCTGATATTAGTTTTAATCCCGAGTAATGACCTGATACTGACGGCCTGGATGTCATATTGTGTTCACCAGGAGACCCTACAGCGCTTGGTTGCGCGCGGGCCTGCACGCCGGGTTGTATATGGCCTTAATGATCTGAGGTGCTAAGCTACTGTCCTTGTTGATGAGGGAAATATGCCTTTTCATTGAACTGACTTCTCACAAACTTCTTGCAGGCCAGTTTGATGGTCGATGGCCGGCTACCTTTTCTCGCCAATTAATACTCTCTTTAGGCCGATTTGTACGATTTATTCAGCCTGCAAAAGAAGTCTAATATAGACTAATCTGCATGTACGACAGCCTTTTTAGCAACATGGCAGTTGACTTGTTTGATATTTAAGACTGTCCCGAGATCACTCCCGAGAATTATCAGTTTGTGACACTTCAAACGTAAGTCCAGACCGTAAATAAACTTGTATTTATCATTTCAAGAGAGATACTAAATGAAAAGAACAAAACTCACCAAGGTAAGACTTGCTGGCAGGACGGCTCTTCGG